TTTTCAGGTACAGAGGAGCATGTGACAGTGTCTAACACTGTCACATGTGGGCAGTCTTTAGCCTTGTGTAAGCTTCAACTAGAGGCAGATTAGAAGAGTAGGGAGGCTAAGGAATGGTGATTATCTGCTACTGGAGAGGAGCTAATTAAAGCAAATATGTTGTTCTGTCCTGCATGGCCAAAGCACAGGTTTGTTTTAAAATATGCATTTTCAAGTTGAAGTTTTTATTATTTGACAGAGCAGTCTGCCAGGAATGTGTTCATTTATCACGACAATATTAATCTAGGATCAAAAAATAGACAAAAAATTCCAAAAAATGATATATGTGATACAAATGAACATTGAAAACCATTAGTTACGGTATTTGAGCAAATGTATTTCTATCAACAGACTACAGGTTTTTCAACCTAAGGGCATTACCTCAATAAGATGAGACTGCAGTTCCTACGTTTTCTTTCTCTAGTGTGCTCAAAGTCAGATAAGAGTTTTTTGATACACATCCTCGTGAATTTACTTCAGCAACTAGAATCGCTTGGCTCCATTTGCAGCCTGTTAGCATCTATGGCAAATGTCCAGCTATTTCTTCCAAATGGTTTTTTGTTACATTCTGTAACTTAAGGGTTCATTAGGGGTAACAAGAACAGAAGAGAAACAGAAAAGTGGGTTGAATTCTAACCAAATGATTATACAAAAACAGACAAAGAGGGCTTTAAAAAATATGCTTAAAACTGGAAGACATTTAACACCCCGAGTCAATTATCTGAAAGATGCGATAGCGAGCAGTAAAGAATTTAGAGACGGACTTGTCTATGTTACAGTCTGTCCACCATGGAGAATCTCGCCAAAATCTAGAAAGACAAAATAAGCTAAAGTGAATAATTTGATACAAAATACAACTCGCCTGTGCTTGGATCTTTTGTCAATTTGTAATCTTTAAATTTTTTTAATAAATTAGGAGTTACAGTGTTAAATCCAAGCAACTGAGAGGATTCAGACCAAACATTGATATGGAAAGAGGTCACATTTAAAATAAGCTGTGACTGAATATACTGCTCTTGACTAATCCTATAATTTGAATAAGAATAAGTACCAGTAGCCCACATAAAGCTGTAGCTGGCCTTAAAGTATCTTGTTTTTGACCCACATTCTTCCCTACTCTGCACATTCAGTAAGAAGGTGGTCTTGACTTGCCCCAAAGCACTCCATCAGATTTTGTGTAGATATGTGCAGAGCACATAAGAAGAGCATAAGTCTGAGAAACTGAGGGTGTCGCTCACAGGGTAAGGCTTTCAGGGGATCCCAGGCTGCACAGATCATTTAAGGGCCAATTATTGGTACATAAAAGTATTTTATGGTGACAGTTCACTTTACATTGCTAGTAAAAGCTAATTATAACTATCCTAAAAATCCCCCCTACTCCTACCTTACTTGCATAACCTGTATAAAAAAGACCTATGTATTTTCCTATTTTAATCTGGCCTGTTCCTATGGTGTGACTCAGCCGCTCCAGCTCCCCTCTGTAAAGGACTGCTTGACAATGGCTGTGACTTCACTTATAGGCTTTCATGGCCCATCTGTTGTCGGTGATCCCGACTCTCTCCTGTAGCAGCCAATCCTGACACAGGAGAGCCAGAGCTCCTGAACCACATGACTGGATTAAAAAAGGTAAATATACAGATATACTTACACATACTTATAATTGGAAAGCATTCTCTTCCACTTTAACTTCACCCATTATTATTATTATTATTATTATATAGGATTTATATAGCACCAACAGTTTGCGCAGCACTTTACAACATAAGGGCAGACAGTACAATTACAATACAATTTAATAAAGGAGGAATCAGAGGACCCTGCTTGTTAGAGCTTACAATCTAAAAAGGAGGGTCAAGAGATACAATAAGTAATAACTGTGGGAGATGGGCTGATGAAGAAGATACAGGTATAGTTGTTAGGTAGGGGCAGGATAGGCCTCTCTGAAGAGATGAGTTTTCAGTGATCATCTAAACGTGGACAGAGTAGGAGATAGTTGGACACATTGGGGTAGGGAGTTCTAGAGAATGAGAGAGGCTCTGGAGAAGTCCTGGAGCTGAGCATGGGAGGAGGTGACAAGGTAGCTAGAGAGCAGGAGGTATTGGGAGGAACAAAGAGAATGATTTGGTTGGTATTTTGATACAAGGTTAGTGATGTAGCTGGTGGCTTAGTTATGGATGTCTTTGTAAGTTGTTGTAAGTATCTTGAATTTAATGAATTGGGCAATGGAGGGATTGGCAGAGAGGGGTGGTAAACACTGAACATTTGGTAAGATAGATGAGCCTGGCAACAGCATTCATGATGGACTGAACGGGGGATAGAATATGTAAAGGTAAGCCAGTGAGGAGGCAGTTGCAGTAGTCAAGGCAGGAGATGAGTAGGGAGTGAGTTAGAAGCTTTGTGGTGTAATTTTTTAGGAAGGGGCATATCTTAGACATGTTGCAAAGGTTTAGGCAGCAAGCTTTGGGCAGTCATTGCATATGGGGCTAAAAGGATAGTTCAGAGTCCAAGATTACACCTAGAACCTTGGCTTGCAGGGACGAGTTGATAGTTGAGCTGTTGATTTTGATGGAGAAGTCAGGTAAAGGGGCACATGGGGGAGGAAATATTTCGAGCTCTTGGATAGATTGATATTCAGAAAGTGGTGTGACATCCAGACTGCTTTGTCTATTAGTAGATCAGTGATGCGTGTGGAGACTAGTGGAGTGAAGCTGAGGAGTAGAGAGTTAGATCTGGGTATCATCAGCATAGATATGGTATTGAAAGCCATGGGAGGCAATCAATTGACCTAGGGAGGAGGTGTAGATTGAGAATAGGAAAAGTCAAAGAACAGAACCTTGGGGAACCCCAACGAATAAAGGAGGAGGAGGAGAAGAGGAAGTAGAATTGTAAGTGACACTGAAGGTGAGGTGGGATAGGTAGGATGAGAACCAACGTGCGATCACAAAGACCAGAGGAATATAGTTTTTTCAGGAGGAGGGCGTGGTCCACCAGAAATATTTTTCAATCTTTATTGATGAAAATAGATCCCTGCTTTACACCATGGTGTGTAATTATACAAATGAGGCATTAGGCCTTCCTTCATAGTAAGTAAATCTGTTAAAATGTAATGCTGCAGACAGAGAGCCGTTTGATCTGACACACCTGTTTTCCCTTGCAGCAATACTGAAGGTCTAATTCAAACAAGATTTTTCTCTCTAATTTTATCAGACAACATAGCAGTTAGTTTAATTTGTAAATATCTACCACTTATGTTAAAAGTAAGTAGTAAGTATATGCGCTGTGGTTGTCAGTTTGTAATCTGCACACAAACAAGGTGCTCAGATAAGTCAGTGGCAGATCACCAACTGTTCTGGAGATCAAGACTGTGCATAAGCCCATAACATCAGTCCAAAAACTTGGGAACACAGCCATTATGGGGTTATTCTATTTATTGTACCATCACAGATCCAAAGTCAGTTAAACTGCCACAAATATTGTGTACCGTGGAGCCAAATTTAATCTGAATATTATGATTTCAGTGTACAATTGGTCACATACTCAAATCATCTGATCAATAATTTTGAGATTGTAAAATAAAGTGGGATACAAAGTACTTGTAATAAAGTGGGATACAAAGTAAAATATGTGCAATTTTAAATGTGCTATAAAGATTCTGCCCACCTTCTAAATATTATTAATTGCTCTTGATGTGGACTAGATGAAGTTTCCATTGCCCGGCTTGCCCAGAGCCAGAGTGGTGTTTCAAGACTCTGGTGCTCCTATTGCAATCACGTGCTCTGTATTATCCCAACATATATATTTTATTTTGCACATTTAACATAGAGAGTTTATGAAGAGTTTATAAAGTTACTGTAAAAAAAGAGAAACAATCTGTTTCAATAGAACATTCAAAGGTAATCTCACCTTTAGGTACTAGAATGTACCCATCAATATGTAGCACATTAATATCAATACAATAAAAGGAAAGAAACTAAAGGAATTTAGGCAACTATCTCATATTATCTCAAATGTCCTTGAATTAGAAATTACCTTTGTGTAAAACTGAGAAAAAAAGGAAGTAAAGTTTAAAATATATTTTTGAGCCATTGAGGACTGTGTCTCACTTTTATGTACACATGATAAGTATTTCTACTTACCATTGGAACCACCAGTGACCATATTGAAACAAATCAAGTAAAAAACAAAAATGGTGACCAATGCACCATCTGTGTTTTGATGAGCTAAAAATGTGTGTTTGGGTGTGATAAATATGAATCTGTCTAAAAGATAAACACTTTTAGTGACCCAAGATTCTCAAAGAGGAACCACGTTCTGATTCTGATGGGGTTTTTTTTTTGGCCATACCATCCAAGTTCAGAGAAAAGTCAGCAGTTCATTTGATAGTTATATATGAACTTCATGTGTAGGGATATATAAAAAAAACTGCATTTACTGTACCTAAAAATACTGTGCTATTAAAAATATATTAAGGGCCTGTGTCTACAGACCTCTGTTCAGTTCAAAAGGGTTTCTTATTCCCTTATTATGGGCATACAAAATCTGCTTGAAGCATGTCAAAAGCAGGTCAAAAGGAGGTCAACTGCAGGTCACATGCACTTCTCAATGAGTCTTGAATGATCTCAGTAGCATCTTAAACTGATGTCAAACTGATTCCATTGACAGAAGCCTAAAGCTACTTGACACAGGCCCTTACAGGTGTCTTCTCTAAATTTCAACATTATTCCTCATTACAATTTCTCATTAACAAAGAGATATTGGCTTTCTAAGTGGTGTGGTTTTATATGTGTGGCATTTGTGCTGTTAAAACAAACACTGTTTGCCCATTAATAAGAGTCATATTTGCTTTACTACAGGTAAACAATCTGATATTTTCACTTCCAGTAATTTTAGAACATGGAGCCATTAAAATATACCAAAGTGGACTTTCAACTGCTGTGGAAACCGATTTTGGCCTACTAGTGATGTATGATGGAGAACACTATGCTTCCATATCAGTACCTGGCACATACATCAACTCTACTTGTGGAATGTGTGGCAACTACAACAAGAATCCTGAGGATGACACCCTCCGCTCAGATGGAAGACCAGCTATATCTGTCATAGATCTAGGAGATAGCTGGAGGGTGTATCATCCAGACTGGAAGTGTTCCTCTGGGTGTGTAGATAACTGCAGTATATGTGATTCAGCAATGGAGTCACTTTATTTTACCTCAGAATACTGTGGGTTTATTAACCTCACAGGGAGCCCACTGTGGGAATGTGGCACTGTAGTGGATCCCACTGCCTTTGTCCACAGCTGTGTATATGACCTTTGTGGTTCTCGAGACAATGGCACTAGCCTTTGCCAAGCAATCCAGGCTTATGCACTTGTTTGTCAAGCACTCGGGATTACTGTTGGTGACTGGAGAACACAGACTGGATGTGGTGAGTAAATATACATACCTTAAATTGATATATATTATTTATTATGACTATGTTTAAATACAAGGTAGAATGGCATTCTTAGGGTCCATGAACACTGGGCTTAAAAAAAACACCAGACCCTGGCTAAAAAAAAAAATGCTCATATAGAATGTTTTTGTACATGCTTTTAGGAGAGTTTAGGTGTGTTTAGCTTTTTTTTTTCTGCCAGAAACGTCCTCTCAAAAACACAATCCTTCAGGTTTTTTTTCTGCCTGTAAACACTGAACGTCAAATATACCTCTAAACATCCTACTGTGCATAGACACAGGATGACATTGAACTGTTTCTACAGGCAAAATGCAAAACTCCTGTAGAAGCTGCATTTTTAAGCCAATTGTGCATTGGCCCTGAATGTAATTAGCAATAAAGATCTGCACACCACTTTTTCCACTAAGCAACCAACAATAGATTAATATTAACGGTGCGTAAACCCGTCCACAGTGTATCAATCTGCTAGTACAATAGTTTTAAGTACATGACTAAGCACACCACATAACAAAAATGCTTCAGCAGTAAGTTGTATTCGGGATATACTGTATTTATACAATTATACAATAGGTATAGATATTTAAGTATGTCATATAATATCAAGCATAATACAGCATATGTTCTCACTCCACTGTTAATTCCAACCAACAAAAATACATGCATGTACATAGATACAGTCAGCACCACCTAGGCTGAATAGCATCTGATGTTCAGAAATACATACAGCAACTGAGTAACCAAAATGGAGTAATGAGAAGGATAGCTGAGCCAGACGCTGGTGAAAAAAGAGAGGAGTAAGAAACCATTTCTAAGAATTGTAAGACTCCCTTTCTCAAGAACTAACCAGCTGAGCACATGTTCCATATACACAATGGCTATAACCACCAGCTACACCTCCTGACCAGCCATGTGTGAAATCATTTCTGGTTCCTGTTTCTGGGAGTTACATAACTTTTTGGTTCCACCTTGCTCCCAAGATTGCCAACCATGGCATGGCTGAACCATGTGCCAACCAGCTTCAGATAAGGCATGACCTAGGCATCACCTAGGCATTTAACCTAGCTTGACTAAATACAACAAAAATAAAAAGATGCATGTAGTGTGGTACAATTAAAGCTTAGCAAGAACTGGGAAGTTGGAACCAGACCAGATGAAATAAACATTGTAAAGTCACATGCTTCATTCATAACTTGTGGGTATAGTGTGTCTAGTGTATAAATCCAATGTAATTCCCTCTGGAGTATAAGCCTGGCCAGCCAGCCCCCCCCCCCCCACAATGGATACTGACTTCCTCAATAATAGTGAACTGTAATTGTGAACTGTTGTGATTTGCATTCCAGAAATAGCATGCTGCTGGTGAGGAAGGGTCATCCTTCCTCACCTCCCTTTTGTATTCACTGAATCTGACTCAAATCTCACATGAGGTTTGTCCAACATATGCCTGTCCACAGGGACACTTGAAAAAAATATATCAGATTTCTGGAAGAGCAGTTCATGAACTTTTTTCCTGTCCTCAGGTGTGTAAGCATGGCATTCTGAAACCTGAATGGTGGTTTATCATAACTTTTAAAGCTAATCTATAACACTTAGACAAGTCCCCCTAAAAGGTGCTGTAAGCTTCCATTCTAAATACGGTAAGATGGTGGTGATGGTGAATTAGTAAACTAACATAAAGTGGTTATAACGTTACCTGAAAACAAAATTTCTGCATCACTTACTCTGTGAAGTGGCATGGAAATGGTTTTTCTGCTACTTACCCTCCAGCCATGTTGTTTACATAATCTTGGTGGCCATAGGCATTATATGATCCTTGGATATGCAGGCATATTCCAACCATTAGGTTTTTTTTTACAGTATACTGGCATAAACATGTTACATGAATGCTCAGGTTGTCTAAGCACTTATGTTCATAGTTTTAACTTTACAAGTAGAAACTAGGAGTGGTCAGTACAATTTTTGCTCCAGGGGAACAATATATATCAGAGAAGGTCAAACATGTCCAGTCTTTTCTCCTGCCCATAGGATGGTTAACTGTTGTTGCCTTTTCTGTCACTCATTCTGGCTCAAAATAGGTTTATTTAATAACCCCCATCTCATATCTGTGGCAAGATAAAATCAGTTCTGTTATAGCAACTCTCATAAGGCCAAAATTAATAATCTTAAATGATTAATTTGTAGGAACACTGCAGAGAATGGTATTTCAGGCTGGAGTGAACACCTTTCTAACTTTCCATATCTAACAGAAGTCCACTTTGATTTAACTTTTAAATGTTCAATTTGAGAACGTACTGTGTGTGTGTATATATATATATATATATATATATATATATATATAAAATATCTTGCATTGTTAAAGTTGGAAGAGATGTGTTGTTCACTCTTTTTTAGAATAATGAGTTTGTTCATGCCTTGCTCTGGGCTAAAACTGTATAGATTTGTTAATGGCTGATTTGAATGAATCTGTATTTGCATACAACCCATATATTATGCTGTGTAACTTTTAAGTAGACCAGAAACCAAATAAAATTGATACCCTTTGAATGGCCAAATCTGTTTTCCAAGCTGAGGGCAGGTGCTGGTCGGGTTGAATATTTGTTCATCAGACACTCCAAGAACTCCTGTACGTACACTGCCTTGCATAAGGTGAACTCCCTTTAGTAAAAATTGGCTTTAGCTTAGTCTCCTATTCATGGGGGAGCCCCCTCTAAAATGATTAGCCCAGGGGCAGACTGACAACTAATGGGGCCCCGGGCAATAGGGTATCATGGTGTCCTTGCCCAATCAAAAAAGCCTATGAAAAAGGTATCAGGGGCATCTCATGGGGCTCCCTACTGACCCCGGTCCCTCGGCCAGTGCCCGAGTTTCCAAATGGTCAGTCCGCCCCTGGATTAGCCCATTATTGGCCTAATCATAGAGTCCTGGGGGCCTAGAGACTTAGAGGGGATTCTTCCATGGGCAGGAGACCTCCTGAAGCCATTTTATGTTATTAGGAGTTCACCGTATGCCAAGACAATGTGCAACATTGGCATTATTTTTGTTGTGTACGTTTTAAGTTTGTTCTCAGATAACACCAGGTAAACAAAAACTGAATGTACTTGACCTGTTTTATGCAAAGAGATAAGATGCTTTTGTACACTGTTTCATTGTGTATATAGAAATGGTTGGCTGTGACAGGGAATACACTAAAGTTGGCTATAGATGGGTCATATTTTTTTGTTCAGCCAGTGGGCTGAATGAAAAATACAAAAGGATTCCTCCATCCACACAAGTGAGGCCCCCTAGGACATTGTATTCTGACAGTGGTACTCTCCACTGTCAGAGTATACTAATCAGCGGTTGTAGGTGCTGACCAAAAAAAGGTTTCCAACATCCTATTTCAGAAGTCGATCTACCAATCAACTTCTGTTGATAAGGGACGCCAACACCTGGATCGAAATTCGGCCAGTCCCTGCTAAACCAAACAAACTTTGAATTGTCAGTGGCAGCTTTAAAATAAACAGTGTACTTTAAAATCTAAATGGGATGCTTTACTCAAGTTTGAGAGGAAACAGAAAATGTAGTTACTTTTGATTGCATATGATTTTTTGTAGCATCAAATCAAATCCTGTGACTAACAAATCTCATAGCTCATATGGCGATATTTTTATAACATTAACATTGTTCTATGCTCTGCTATGTTCCTTAATGTCCATTAGTATTTGAGATGAAAGAAGAGCAAGTGTATGTAAACAGGAAGCGATTGAAGGAGTTTACAATAGATAATCATCTCGGAGTTGCAAAAAGAATGAAAAAAAATTAAAAAAAACAAACATGGTAAATGTTTATTATATTCAGTGCTTTTGTAATGTACCTGGTGGTAGAACCTGAAGTGCAGAGGAGGGCCTCCCTTGTAGCTCTGGCTCAGGGTCCCTGGTAGAGTAACAAGGAGTAACAGAGCACAGAGCTGCACGAGTGCCTGATAGGACTTCTGTGGATGGATGTTGACGTACAGCAGGAATGCAGGAGCAGCTGGTGGATGGCACACTGGTAGAGTAAGCAGGATGGCTTGGCAGATGACAATCAGGCAGAAGTGCAGGAGCAGGATATTGGCAAGGATATGTCGGTTCAGGTGCAGGATCAGAGTAAAGCAAGGTCAGGCGGCGGTCCGGGTCAGCAACCAGCAGGCAGAGTAAGCAGAAATGGCAGGCAGAAGAATAGTCAAAGGGCAGGCCAGGGGTCGGTAAAGGCAGCATTCTATCAGGGTCAATAACAGATTACATCAGCAACAGAATGACAGGTAACAGGATGCATGGGTGCTCAGAAGTATAAGACCAAACAGCACTAATGCAAGGCACTAGCCCAGCTTAAATAGCCCGCCTTGCGCCAATGTGCCGTTGTGCACCTGTGTGCGTGATTGCGCACACACATTTGCCAATTGGCCATGAGCTGGGCTAACGGGTTCTGCGCCCATGCATAGATGGGCGCATTCCCTGACAGCTTTAGAATACTAATTACTATCCATTTAGGGTTTTTATCTATTATAACCCAGGCATTCAGTACTGTAAGACAAGAGTGGTCAGTACATAGCCTCCTGCTGCCTGCTGTTTTTCTATGCAGACTGTAATCTGTCATCTGTCCCTACAATTTGTAAAAGGTAATTTTTATTTTTAGATGGTACTCGGTGTAGGACAAAAGATTAAACAGGTTGTGTTAAACAGCCACAACAGGGCTTCCTATTACACCAGTCAACTACAATAGGCATATTCACTGGCTTCCAGATGGCATGAAATACCAGTAGCTTTCCCGGTTACATTCCCACATATGTACCTTTGAAACGTTCACTGGAATCTGTATTCACTGGAAAATCAACAATGAAATATAAGAATATAAGAAAAATAAGGTACTAACATAGAATCCCTTTTAACCAGCATGTTAATAACAACGATAAAGGGAAACAACCAAATGTTTAACACAATTCCTAATGTTCTAATAGG